ATATATATATATGTATGTCACGGAGATGTCATCTCACAAGGAAAATACAACTGTCATTCTTCATCTATGTTGTTTGAAGGAAAAACGTCTGTTTCGTCACGGACTGGATTTATTGGTGCAAGGTGTTACATCCCGGCAGTTACCACTATCAATATTCCTAAAACTATCTCCGCTCGTTCGAACTGGAATCGAACAACCAAAACACTCCTAATTGATATTACTAATTTCACAATTTTTTCCATGTGTCAACTGACTTCCATGATGTCAACAGCTTCTAAACAATGAGCAAAGCCTACATTTTTTAGGCGCCATGTACCTCTGCCCGCATGACATACACACAGAAGTACATGACGCCTAGACACTGCTTATTCCTGCCTATAAACTTAGTACCTACACTCCGTGACATAATTAAAACGAAAATCAGATAATTTCCGGGACTTTAACTTGAAGTCCTAAATATTAGTTATATATAGTATCCTGAGGCACATAAACAAAGAAAACAGTCAGTGATTTAGGGACAAACTATCATAAATCTTAAACAAAATCTAATTTTATGCCTGCAATATATATATATATATATATATATATATATATATATATATATATATATATATATATGTATGTGCTTGTATATATATTAAGTATATGTATACATACATATGTATATGTATATATGTATGAATTTACATATATAAGTATATATGTATATATGTATATGTATATATATCTACATTCATATGCTTATACATATATAGATGCACAAAATTTATATAGAAATAACGCCTAACAAAGAATACCAAAACATATAATACAGAAACAGTTTCAGAAAAGGTCAATTTAAGGTAACTGACCATTTAACAGGATAGTTGCTTACATTGTATATAGGGTGGTTGCAGATTGTACCATTGAGCTAAGGTTTCATGTTAGTTATGTGAAGAGAGTCAGCTATGATCAGGTCAAATCTGTTAGGATGGGAGATCAAATATTTCAAGTTAGTAGGGTTTAACACGTGGTTGTGAAGGTGAGAGCGCTCTCTTATTGCCGAGAAGGATGGTTTACTCAGTGACAGGCCAGGTCTGATGGATTTCTATGTTTGAGGATGCGGTTTTGCAGTCACTGTGAGGTTGAACGCACGTACAGTTGCAGAATTACATTTCAGTGCACTTGCTGGGTCCCACTTTTATACATCTAGCTGCCACTTCGATGTAAACATGGAGTAAATAGTATTTTTATGAATGAGGCGAAAATCCTACGTTGTTTGTAACAAAGAGTGTGATTGGAAGAATATAAAAGATCAACAAGTGCATTAGTATTCAGTTTTGGGAACTACGTAAACCATTTCATCTTTCGTTTTCTACAAACAAGTAATAACAAAACATGTATTAGCTATTATTGACTTTGTAGTGGGATATTTTTCAAATGCGATTTCCTGGAATTGTTTGTTTATCGACATGGCACACCTATAGAGGTGAGGCGGCATTCCCTCTTCTTTCAAGAAGTACCAGTTATGGCTACATATTTTGTTGAAACCTGAAAATGCTTCATGTTTAAAAAAAAATATGTATGGCAGCTGTATAAATTCTTCAAATTCACTCATACCTTTCTAAATCGTTTTCGTAGCGGCTAATCGAACTAATGATGTTTCTTTTTAGCCTGAACCAAACAATAACACACTGATTCATGAACAGAAGCATGCTACATTATACTTTTCGTTACACTAGCTAAACGCAAAACCAATGAATATGTAAATATTTTTACACCTGTTATTTCTCATCCAGCCACAGAGCTCTCCACATACTGCTGGGCGAACCGGAGGCGGTGTCGGCGATGTCGTTCAACCTCTCTGTGATGAATCCCATCTGCATGTAGTAATTTTCTTCGCCGTGCGGCTTGTTAGCGGGAGTTGTGAGTCTTCATATGAATTTTAGCTGCCTAGGTGGAGGGGCATCCGGGACGAGGGCGGTCGTTCAGGGATGCCCTCCCCCTCCTACCTTATTCATCTGAGTCGAGCGAGAGATACCCGGCTCTCTGGTGATTTTACTGGGGAAGAAATTACTTTCCCTTATCCTAATGATGCGGCCGCGATTTATGATTTCGGTTTGCCTTGCGTCCAGCTTGGAAAAAATGTCCATATGTCATTATGACGTCACATACTATCGGACATATTCTCTTTCTTGTTTAGCATATATTAGGCTGAGCCGCGAAATTAAAGAACTTATTGAATAATTATTTCTATCGTAAACATATTAAGATTACGTATCATATATATATATATATATATATATATATATATATATATATATATATATATATATATATATATATGGTATTGTCAGGGTCTCATGGGTTTCACTACTACAAGATATGCCTTTTGTCTCCGAGATGATAGGGAGTAACAAACTGCATCAAGGTAGTGGACATTCTCCTACATGACAAGAACTACCTCCAGACTCTATGGTTTATTGCAGGACCATGGTACTTGGAGACACAGGATGGTGCA